CCCCAAAACCCCAAAACCCCAAAACCCCTCTCTTAAATTTCAAGATTGAGGGTAGATTTACAAAATTATTAAAAAAACAACTTGCGCTTAAAATATTAAATTATTAAAAATAATGGAGGGAAAGGACATAGTACACGAAAGTAGCAAACCAGACTTAAGCAAGTTGTTCTCTGAAGAACTGCCAACATTTGGGAATGTATCGATGCTCTTCTACATCTCAGATGCCTGAAAAGATAAAGAGAACCTCTCAAAGGCTATTATTGAGCATGGAGGTAACATCGCTCTGTACCAGGAGTGTTTTACTTACCAGATATGTCCCAAGGATTGCCTGAACCAGTTAGAAGTCAAAAAGCAATACTATAAGGGACTTATTTATGACTCCCATTGGATCTATGATAGTATTGACAAAAAGGAGCTCCAATCAAAGGAAAATTACACTCTGATTAAAATTTCGGAGGGAAAACCCTTCGAGTTCAATAAAGGGAAGATTCCTTACACCATTAGAGAGGCTATCATGATTTATAAGTGGATTTCAGGCCAAAAACTGCAGAAATCAAAGAGGACTTGGCAAAGCATGGTTGATAAAGGCGCGATTTACTGCCGAACTGCTGAGTCATTAAAGAACTTTTGGAAGACTAATGCAAAGAACTCCATGGAAGATTGCATCCTTGAAATGGTCAAGAACCACAAGAAGTATTGCCACCAGTACCCTGATCCCATATTCCCGAACGATGGAGTGAATATAAAGCCGAAAGATCAGTCTGCTCCTGACACAGAAAGCAAAGGAAAAGTTATTTATAAAAAGAACCCTAACTGCTCAAATAGTCATCATGACTCTAGTTCTCAAACAGGTAGCAAACCTAACTCTACGAGTAAAGCCCCAATCACCAGGATGTCTGAGAATGCTGAATTAGATGAAGACTTTGCACCAATAGAAGAAGAGAAGGACTACTCCATCCAAGTTGTTGAAATTATCGACGGGTCAGAGAATAGCCATAGCTCTGAGGACAAAAACTTAGAGAACAGCCTCCAATTAGAAGCCGAAGATTTAGAAGACGTTTTTGATTCTGACAGTGAGCCCAAGGAGTCCAAAAAGGCCACACCCAAGAAGGAACAGACTGTTCACCAGGAAACCATCCAGACTTCTAAGAAGGTGATTAAGAGCAAGTAAGGATTTATTAGAGAGTTTGATCAATGACGAGCTAGATGGGGTTGAAATCCCCAAGACTTTGGAGGAAGAGAAAGAGAATAAAAACACCAACTTAGAGCCCCTTGTCCCAGAAGAAATTGCAGCATTTATTACTACCAAGAAGAAATTACAAGAATTCTCTGAGAAATATAAGAAGCCATTTGATGAAGTAATGGCTCTTTTTGAGCAATGTTCCTGTAGATATGACATCCTTGAAGAGTTCCTCTCAACAAGCCATAGTACAAACAAGATGTGGAAGGGACTGGAGGATTTCATCCTCCTCAAGCCCTACATGAATGAGGAAGCTTACAATCTTCTTCTGAAAGAGAAAGGAGAGAAAGAAGTGAAACTTAGGAAAAAGTTCCTAAACTTGAAGTAATTTTACTACTGTTTTCAATTTTAATTTTAAAACAAGGGGTTTTGGGGTTTTGGGGTTTTGGGGTTTTGGGG